TGATAGTCCAGTGTATATTACTGATAGTCCAGTGTATATTACTGATAGTCCAGTGTATATTACTGATAGTCCAGTGTATATTACTGATAGTCCAGTGTATATTACTGATAGTCCAGTGTATATTACTTATAGTCCAGTGTATATTACTGATAGTCCAGTGTATATTACTGATAGTCCAGTGAATATTACTGATAGTCCAGTGTATATTACTGATAGTCCAGTGTATATTGCTGATAGTCCAGTGTATATTACTGATAGTCCAGTGTATATTACTGATAGTCCAGTGTTATTATACTGATAGTCCAGTGTATATTACTGATAGTCCAGTGTATATTACTGATAGTCCATGTGTATATTACTGATAGTCCAGGTATATTACTGATAGTCCAGTGTATATTACTGATAGTCCAGTGTATATTACTTATAGTCCAGTGTATATTACTGATAGTCCAGTGTATATTACTGATAGTCAGTGTATATTACTGATAGTCCAGTGTATATACTGATAGTCCAGTGTATATTGCTGATAGTCCAGTGTATATTTACTGATAGTCCAGTGTATATTACTGATAGTCCAGTGTGTATAATTAATGATAGTCCAGTGTATATTACTGATAGTCCAGTGTATATTACTGATAGTCCAGTGTATATTACTGATAGTCCAGTGTATATTACTGATAGTCCAGTGTATATTACTGATAGTCCAGTGTATATTACTGATAGTCCAGTGTATATTACTGATAGTCCAGTGTATATTACTGATAGTCCAGTGTATATTACTGATAGTCCAGTGTATATTACTGATAGTCCAGTGTATATTACTGATAGTCCAGTGTATAAATACTGATAGTCCAGTGTATATTACTGATAGTCCAGTGTATATTACTGATAGTCCAGTGTATATTACTGATAGTCCAGTGTATATTACTGATAGTCCAGTGTATATTACTGATAGTCCAGTGTATATTACTGATAGTCCAGTGTATATTACTGATAGTCCAGTGTATATTACTGATAGTCCAGTGTATATTACTTATAGTCCAGTGTATATTACTGATAGTCCAGTGTATATTACTGATAGTCCAGTGTATATTACTGCTAGTCCAGTGTATATTACTGATAGTCCAGTGTATATTACTGATAGTCCAGTGTATATTACTGATAGTCCAGTGTATATTTACTGATAGTCCAGTGTATATTACTGATAGTCCAGTGTATATTACTTATAGTCCAGTGTATATTACGATAGTCCAGTGTATATTACTGATAGTCCAGTGTATATTACTGATAGTCCAGTGTATATTACTGATAGTCCAGTGTATATTACGATAGTCCAGTGTATATTACTGATAGTCCAGTGTATATTACTGATAGTCCAGTGTATAATTACTGATAGTCCAGTGTATATTACTGATAGTCCAGTGTATATTACTGATAGTCCAGTGTATATTACTGATAGTCCAGTGTATATTACTGATAGTCCAGTGTATATTACTGATAGTCCAGTGTATATTACTGATAGTCCAGTGTATATTACTGATAGTCCAGTGTATATTGCTGATAGTCCAGTGTATATTACTGATAGTCCAGTGTATATTACTGATAGTCCAGTGTATATTACTGATAGTCCAGTGTATATACTGATAGTCCAGTGTATATTACTGATAGTCCAGTGTATATTACTGATAGTCCAGTGTATATTACTGATAGTCCAGTGTATATTACTGATAGTCCACTGTATATTACTGATAGTCCAGTGTATATTACTGATAGCCCAGTATATATTGCTGGTAGCCCAGTGTATATTACTGATAGCCCAGTGTATATTACTGACAGCCCAGTATATATTACTGATAGCCAGTGTATATTACTTATAGCCCAGTGTATATTACTGATAGCCCAGTATACATTACTAATAGCCTAGTGTATATTACTGATAGCCCAGTGTATATTACTGATAGCCCAGTGTATATTACTGATAAGCCCAGTGTATATTACTGATAGTCCAGTGTATATTACTGATAGTCCAGTGTATATTACTGATAGTCCAGTGTATATTACTGATAGTCCAGTGTATATTACTGATAGTCCAGTGTATATTACTGATAGCCCAGTGTATATTACTGATAGCCCAGTGTATATTACTGATAGCCCAGTGTATATTACTGATAAGCCCAGTGTATATTACTGATAGCCCAGTGTATATTACTGATAGCCCAGTGTATATTACTGATAAGCCCAGTGTATATTACTGATAGCCCAGTGTATATTACTGATAACCCAGTGTATATTACTGATAGCCCAGTGTATATTACTGATAACCCAGTGTATATTACTGTTAGCCCAGTGTATATTACTGATAGCCCAGTGTATATTACTGATAACCCAGTGTATATTACTGATAGCCCAGTGTATATTACTGATAACCCAGTGTATATTACTGTTAGCCCGGTGTATGTCACTGATAGCAGATTGTACGTGACTGGTAGCCCCGTGTGCTTCACTGATAGCCCAGTGTAAGTTACTGATAGCCCAGTGTACATCACTGACAGCTCAGTGAAAATCATTGATAACCAGTGAACGTAAATGACAGAGTCGTTCTAATTCCTAAATACTCTAATTCTAAAGAAATACTTCCTAACATCCATATAACTCATCTGAGTTAACAACTCCCAGCGGTGTTCCTGTGTCCCATCTCTCAAACATTGTCCCTGTTCACCCTGTCATTTCCTCTCAGTATTTTGTGTATAATCATATATCACGTCCTCCGGTGTCATCCGTCCCTTAACCTCTCCTCAGCTCCGGGACTAGTCTCGTTGCAACCTCTGCACTTTCTCCAGTTTCTTGACGTGCTTGACCATATTTTTGATCACAGCTCCTGGCCCCGCCTCTTCGGCTGGTCTCTGAAACATCCTGTCCCTATCCACCTTGTCAATTTCTCTTAGTGTTTTATATGTCGTTATCATGTCCCCCCTATCCCTCTTGTCCTCCAGTGACGTCAGGTTGATTTCCCTTAACCTCTACTCCTAGAACATATCCCTTAGCTTCGCGACTAGTCTTGTTGCAAACCTTTGCACTTTCTCTAATTTTTTTACGTGCTTGACCAAGTGTAGGTTCCATACTGGCGCTGCATACTCCAATATGGGCCTGACGTACACGGTGTACAGAGTCTTTAATGATTCCTTACTCAGGTGTCGAAACGCTATTCTCAGGTTTGCTAGGCGCCCATATGTTGCAGCAGTTATTTGGCTGATGTTTGCCTTAGATGTGCTCGGTATTATACTCATCCCAAGATCCTTTTCCTTGAGTGAGGTTTGCAGTCTTTGCCTCCCCAGCCTGTACTCTGTCTGCAGTCTTCTTTGACCTTCCTCAATCTTCATGACTTTAAACTTGGTGGGGTTAAACTCCAGAAGCCAGATGTTGGACCAGGCTTGCAGCCTGTCCAGATCCCCTTGTAGGCTTACCTGATCATTGTCCTCTTGTATTCTCCGCATTAGCTTCACATCGTCTGTGAATAGGGACACCTCTGAATCTATCCCTTACGGTATGTCATTCATATATTCCAGAAACAGCACCGGCCCTATGACTGACTCCTGTGGAACCCAACTTGACACATATACCTACTCTGACACCTCGTCATGTACCATCACTCGTTAATTCCTTCCTGTCAGGTATTCTCTGATCCATTGCAGTGCTTTTCCTGTTATTCCTACCTGCTCCTCTAGCTTCTTCACTAATTTCTTGTACAGAACTGTGTCGAAAACCTTCTTACAGTCCAATAAAATGCATTATACCCACCCTTCTCTCTCTCTCCTGCTACTGCTGTTATCCTATCGTAAAACTCCAGTAGCTTTGCGACATAGGATTTCCCCTCCCTGAAACCATGCTTGTTATTGCGCGCGCGCGTGTACTTACCTATTTGTGGTTGCAGGGGTCGATTCATAGCTCCTGGTGTGTGTGTATGTAGCTTTATAACAACGTAGGCAAGTTCATTGTCATAAAAGCTATATACACACACACACCAGGAGCTATGATTCGACCACTGCAATGGAGTTTATGGAGCTGAGAATGTTTTATATCAGCATATTGTCTGCCACGGATAATAACAGTTCAACTACGCTTTCCTCCAGTTACTATCAGCTTATGATAACTGGAAGAACACTTCTACTTCCACTCAAAATAACACTTGTTTTCCATCTTAATAATTTGTGTTTTACCTGCTAAGAGAAAAGAATTTTTTTTTTTTAATTTTGGTCCAAATAAAAATTTTTGGCACTTTTCGTTAAAACTTCAAGAAGGCAGCCAGCAGCACTTTGATACAGCATTATTATAGAACTTCTCGGTATTCTGTAAGTGTTCCTAAAACTGTACCTAGAAAATATCATAGAAATTATCCAAATCCGCATCAGTTCCGTACTTTTAATGATGGCAATATGCGCCATCTTAAATTACCCAACCTCAAATATATACTCTGCTGTACTGATATATATACCCTTGTGTACTGATACAATACTATATATACTGCTGGTGGAGGCTAGTACACCAAACAGGGAGGAGGATGAAATTAGCTCTGAAGCACCCACACCATCGTATGTCCTTGGAACACTGTACAACACCTAGCTCTGCTGGGTGCTTGATTCTTGTAGGATTGTATGATCCAGTGGGTTTGAGAGTCGTGAATTTTCGCTCACCATGAGGCGGGCTGAAACAACACGGTTTCAAATCCTTGGCTAGTCGCAGTGTTGTTATTGATTAAATACCACTCTTTCGTGGTTACAATAATATATATATAATATATATATATATATATATATATATATATATATATATATATATATTTATATATATATATAATATATATATATACCCTGGTGTACTAATATCAGCAATAAAACTCCAAATACAAACATTTAATGTTCGCTGTATGGCTGCTCGACTGAGAGAATTTTTTTTTTCTTAACACTTGGTTCAGCGGTGTGTTAGTGGGTCCGTGGCGTGTGGATGGGGTGCGGGCGGCGGGCGGGAGTGTTGTGTGGGCGGCCAGTAGTGGGCTGGTCACTACACCCATCACACGCCCACGCCCCCTCAACGAAGGAGTAGCAGAGGGCGGTCACCGGAACCAGGTACCTCATCCGGATGTGTGTGCAGCAGACTCCTTACACACCTCCCTCCCCCCCCTGGCTGTCATCCACACACTAGAGGTGAGTCCATGTTAGTCATGTTGTTAATTAGTGGTAGTTAATGTGGTTTGAAAGCTTATTGATTACACGAGGGTCATTAAGACTGCATATGAACTTCTTACCATCAGTCGAGAATATTGTAATCCCTGAAATAGAGATTAAACTCAGCGTATATACAAGGATATACACCTTACGGTGTATATATATTCTTCTATAGTAAACAGAACACTATATGAAAGATTAACGTATAATATTTAGTTTTATTTATGTTTATTATTATTAAGTGCCTATATAAACACAAGTCCATATTACACCTATGGATCTCCTAGGATAGAGCATATGTTGTCACCTTTGTGGATCTGTTTGCACACTGTTTGCACCATTGTGGCCTGGTGGCTAAAGCTCCCGCTTCACACACGGAGAGCCCGGGTTCGATTCCCGGCGGGTGGAAACATTTCGACACGTTTCCTTACACCTGTTGTCCTGTTCACCTAGCAGCAAATAGGTACCTGGGTGTTAGCCGACTGGTGTGGGTCGCATCCTGGGGGACAAGATTAAGGACCCCAATGGAAATAAGTTAGACAGTCCTCGATGACGCACTGACTTTCTTGGGTTATCCTGGGTGGCTAACCCTCCGGGGTTAAAAATCCGAACGAAATCTTATCTTATCTTATCTTAGACCATCTCTTAACATGCCATTATATCCCTACACTATTTCTACCATCACTTCTAAGGTAAATATCATCGAAGAGTTTAATTAACACCACATCTTTTGTGAAGACTGTGTGTAATACCTGCACGCAGAGACCATTGTTGTTGTTAGTCACAATGTTGGGTAGACATAACTGTACTAAAATTAAATTGAAATTAAAAATTGCAATATTAAATCAAATTTTAATGACAATTTGTTTTTCATCCTGCTGTCTTGTGTGTCAGATGAGTCCCTGTGGGCGTGAGTTGGTGGTGGGCGGCCTCACGGGTGACTCTGTGGGCGTGGTGCTGTGGTGGGCGTGGCCACTGGTAAAGCAAGCTCCCCCACTGGTTGTCATGACAGGTCACCTTGTTCACCAGCTACAGTTTAGGTCAGTTCATCCTGCTGTCCTCTCTTAAAACAAATGTCGTTATTACCTGTAATAATAATACTGTTAAGAATAATAGTCAAACTAATAATAATAATAATAACAATAATAATATTGCTATCAGTATTATTATTATTATTAAGAGTAGTAATAGTAATAGTAGTAGTATTAGTAACCGTAGTAGTAGTAACATTATTATTATTAATACAGGTAGAAGTGAGAGCATTATTATTATTATTAGTAAGTAAGTAAGTAAGTAAGTAAATTTATTCAGGTATACACAATACAGTTACATAGAATTATCATACATAGCAGCATATGTGTAGAGAACCTAGGATAACCCAAAAAAGTCAGACAGAGTGACTTATTTCCATTGGGGTCCTTTTACTATTATTATTATTATTATTATTATTATTATTATTATTATTATTATTATTAGTAGTAGTAGTAGTAGTAGTAGTAGTAGTAGTAATACCACACCTGTGTAAATATCAAGGTTGCCAAGTGTCTTCTACACACTTCAGCAATAATACCAACTTTCTTCTATGAAGGATACACTAGTGCCGAAAGTTTGAAGCCGATCAGAAGAGGCTTTATCAAGTTATCGGACGGTAACTGAATCCACGATTTTTTTCAATATAAACTTGACCAGCGGGCCACCTACACATGCCAGTAGTCACATGTGCAGGTGCCCAGTCTCAGAGAGTAGCTCTGGGAGTCACACTTTGTCCACCATTTTAAATGTAAACTAAAATCTTGATGGAAAAATGAAAACCAGGCAACCTCTTCAAGGGACCTTCCCTGGGATACTTAATTCAGGCGAATGAAACAAAAAAAATAGAGTTGTAGTCACTATTGTCGGTAAAAAAAAATTAATAATGGCATATTTACGATATTTGTTATTAGTAAAGGAATATAAATAAACAGCAGATAAAACATTCAGAGAAAGATAAGAAGGTATATCATAGTGATGGTACATGTTTGAGAGAGTAACAAAGATTGTTACAACTGTTTGAGAGAGTAACAAAGATTGTTACAACTGTTTGAGAGAGTAACAAAGAATGTTACAACTGTTTGAGAGAGTAACAAAGATTGTTACAACTGTTTGAGAGAGTAACAAAGATTGTTACAACTGTTTGAGAGAGTAACAAAGATTGTTACAACTGTTTGAGAGAGTAACAAAGATTGTTTACAACTGTTTGAGAGAGTAACAAAGATTGTTACAAACTGTTTGAGAGAGTAACAAAGAATGTTACAACTGTTTGAGAGAGTAACAAAGATTGTTACAACTGTTTGAGAGAGTAACAAAGATTGTTACAACTGTTTGAGAGAGTAACAAAGATTGTTACAACTGTTTGAGAGAGTAACAAAGATTGTTACAACTGTTTGAGAGAGTAACAAAGATTGTTACAACTGTTTGAGAGAGTAACAAAGATTGTTACAACTGTTTGAGAGAGTAAACAAAGATTGTTACAACTGTTTGAGAGAGTAACAAAGATTGTTACAACTGTTTGAGAGAGTAACAAAGATTGTTACAACTGTTTGAGAGAGTAACAAAGATTGTTACAACTGTTTGAGAGAGTAACAAAGATTGTTACAACTGTTTGAGAGAGTAACAAAGATTGTTACAACTGTTTGAGAGAGTAACAAAGAATGTTACAACTGTTTGAGAGAGTAACAAAGATTGTTACAACTGTTTGAGAGAGTAACAAAGATTGTTACAACTGTTTGAGAGAGTAACAAAGAATGTTACAACTGTTTGAGAGAGTAACAAAGATTGTTTACAACTGTTTGAGAGAGTAACAAAGAATGTTACAACTGTTTGAGAGAGTAAACAAAGATTGTTACAAACTGTTTGAGAGAGTAACAAAGAATGTTACAACTGTTTGAGAGAGTAACAAAGATTGTTACAACTGTTTGAGAGAGTAACAAAGAATGTTACAACTGTTTGAGAGAGTAACAAAGATTGTTACAACTGTTTGAGAGAGTAACAAAGATTGTTACAAACTGTTTGAGAGAGTAACAAAGATTGTTACAACTGTTTGAGAGAGTAACAAAGATTGTTACAACTGTTTGAGAGAGTAACAAAGATTGTTACAATTGTTTGAGAGAGTAACAAAGATTGTTACAACTGCCTGAGAGAGTAACAAAGAATGTTACAACTGTTTGAGAGAGTAACAAAGATTGTTACAACTGTTTGAGAGAGTAACAAAGATTGTTACAACTGTTTGAGAGAGTAACAAAGATTGTTACAACTGTTTGAGAGAGTAACAAAGAATGTTACAACTGTTTGAGAGAGTAACAAAGATTGTTACAACTGTTTGAGAGAGTAACAAAGAATGTTACAACTGTTTGAGAGAGTAACAAAGATTGTTACAACTGTTTGAGAGAGTAACAAAGATTGTTACAACTGTTTGAGAGAGTAACAAAGATTGTTACAACTGTTTGAGAGAGTAACAAAGATTGTTACAACTGCCTGAGAGAGTAACAAAGAATGTTACAACTGTTTGAGAGAGTAACAAAGATTGTTACAACTGTTTGAGAGAGTAACAAAGAATGTTACAACTGTTTGAGAGAGTAACAAAGATTGTTACAAACTGTTTGAGAGAGTAACAAAGAATGTTACAACTGTTTGAGAGAGAGTAACAAAGATTGTTACAACTGTTTGAGAGAGTAACAAAGATTGTTACAACTGTTTGAGAGAGTAACAAAGATTGTTACAACTGTTTGAGAGAGTAACAAAGATTGTACAACTGCCTGAGAGAGTAACAAAGAATGTTACAACTGTTTGAGAGAGTAACAAAGATTGTTACAACTGTTTGAGAGAGTAACAAAGATTGTTACAACTGTTTGAGAGAGTAACAAAGATTGTTACAACTGCCTGAGAGAGTAACAAAGATTGTTACAACTGCCTGAGAGAGTAACAAAGATTGTTACAACTGTTTGAGAGAGTAACAAAGATTGTTACAAACTGTTTGAGAGAGTAACAAAGATTGTTACAACTGTTTGAGAGAGTAACAAAGATTGTTACAACTGTTTGAGAGAGTAACAAAGATTGTTACAACTGTTTGAGAGAGTAACAAAGATTGTTACAACTGTTTGAGAGAGTAACAAAGATTTGTTACAACTGTTTGAGAGAGTAACAAGATTGTTACAACTGTCTGAGAGAGTAACAAAGATTGTTACAACTGTTTGAGAGAGTAACAAAGATTGTTACAACTGCCTGAGAGAGTAACAAAGATTGTTACAACTGCCTGAGAGAGTAACAAAGATTGTTACAACTGCCTGAGAGAGTAACAAAGAATGTTACAACTGCCTGAGAGAGTAACAAAGATTGTTACAACTGCCTGAGAGAGTAACAAAGATTGTTACAACTGCCTGAGAGAGTAAACAAGAATGTTACAACTGCCTGAGAGAGTAACAAAGATTGTTACAACTGCCTGAGAGAGTAACAAAGATTGTTACAACTGCCTGAGAGGAGTAACAAAGATTGTTACAACTGCCTGAGAGAGTAACAAAGATTGTTACAACTGCCTGAGAGAGTAACAAAGATTGTTACAACTGCCTGAGAGAGTAACAAAGATTGTTACAACTGCCTGAGAGAGTAACAAAGATTGTTACAAGTGCCTGAGAGAGTAACAAAGATTGTTACAACTGTTTGAGAGAGTAACAAAGATTGTTACAACTGCCTGAGAGAGTAACAAAGATTGTTACAACTGCCTGAGAGAGTAACAAAGATTGTTACAACTGTTTGAGAGAGTAACAAAGATTGTTACAACTGCCTGAGAGAGTAACAAAGATTGTTACAACTGTTTGAGAGAGTAACAAAGATTGTTACAACTGCCTGAGAGAGTAACAAAGATTGTTACAACTGTTTGAGAGAGTAACAAAGAATGTTACAACTGTTTGAGAGAGTAACAAAGATTGTTACAACTGTTTGAGAGAGTAACAAAGATTGTTACAACTGTTTGAGAGAGTAACAAAGAATGTTACAACTGTTTGAGAGAGTAACAAAGAATGTTACAACTGTTTGAGAGAGTAACAAAGATTGTTACAACTGTTTGAGAGAGTAACAAAGATTGTTACAACTGTTTGAGAGAGTAACAAAGAATGTTACAACTGTTTGAGAGAGTAACAAAGAATGTTACAACTGTTTGAGAGAGTAACAAAGAATGTTACAACTGTTTGAGAGAGTAACAAAGATTGTTACAACTGTTTGAGAGAGTAACAAAGAATGTTACAACTGCCTGAGAGAGTAACAAAGATTGTTACAACTGTTTGAGAGAGTAACAAAGATTGTTACAACTGTTTGAGAGAGTAACAAAGATTGTTACAACTGTTTGAGAGAGTAACAAAGATTGTTACAACTGTTTGAGAGAGTAACAAAGATTGTTACAACTGTTTGAGAGAGTAACAAAGATTGTTACAACTGTTTGAGAGAGTAACAAAGATTGTTACAACTGTTTGAGAGAGTAACAAAGATTGTTACAACTGCCTGAGAGAGTAACAAAGAATGTTACAACTGCCTGAGAGAGTAACAAAGATTGTTACAACTGTTTGAGAGAGTAACAAAGATTGTTACAACTGTTTGAGAGAGTAACAAAGAATGTTACAACTGCCTGAGAGAGTAACAAAGATTGTTACAACTGTTTGAGAGAGTAACAAAGAATGTTACAACTGCCTGAGAGAGTAACAAAGAATGTTATAACTGCCTGAGAGAGTAACAAAGATTGTTACAACTGTTTGATACAAAAAAGGAAAAGCTGATGTTACTTGAGATAAAATATGTGTTGAAATTATTGTATCAAGATAAAAATTTATATTATAAATGTATGAATAAAGAGAAAATATGCGATCATAATGCTGTAAAGATTATAAGTGAATAAACTTCAGTTAAAATTAATTAATAAACCAAGTTACTTAGAAAATTTAAAAAAAATGCTTAGATAAATACAGAAAGAAAATACTCTGGTGTACAGGGGTATATACACCGAAGGTATGTATGTATCACTTAGGAAAATGGTTGCCAAAGGGTGCGGCGCCCCATACTAGTGTGGCGAGATGGTGGGGAGGGGGGGGGGTGTTCAGCCGGTACATTGGCCCGGGGCCCGGGGCCCGGATGTGAATCCCTGAAGGGGCTCCAGAGCCATAGACATTTTTTTTTTATTTTTTTTCGTTTGATTTTTTTTTTTTTGGTAATTTCAACTATATTTTTAGTTTATTTAAAAAAAAAAATATATAACATTGACATAGACTGGGGGGCCTCAGCTTGCCCCCAGGGGCCCTGTGGAAAATACTGTATATATTTTCCAGAAATACAGTAGTTATATGCAAATAGATGGCCATACTGTATTTAATAAAAATTTATGTTATCGAAAACGGGAAGCTGCGCCTGCGCAGACGAGACGCCATTTTTGTTTGAACTGAACACTAACGGTAGTGTATAATGGGAAGAGTTTTCGTGCTCTAGAGGTAAAATTGGGTTGACACCTCTCAAATAGGAGGCGAAATTGTTGGATATGCATTCCTGCATGACTTGAGATATCAGACGACTGGACAAGACAGCTCCAGGAACCTCAGATAAGTCTGTTTATGTTTAATTCTGGCCAGTGTTATTTCATGTATAAACTGAGGTTTTCTGAGTATGATACACATTAATCTCCAGTCAAATTGGTGAGTGATATTAAGATATATTCTCCTGTTATGTAAATGTGTGTATATATAATCATTTTTTAATTTTAATATACAGTCCACAAATTTATATATTTACCAGCATTCCTGGTGATGTATATTTCATTTATAATTAATAGGTCCAGAGCAACTTGTGGATATGACAGTGGTAGGTATCAAAGGGGGACATTTTTTGCGACCTAGGTGTCCCAAATTCCTACTTGTCTAACTGATAAATAATAATTATTTTTGTTCATTTACTGTTATGTACATAATGATACATTCAGATAAATTTTCTTGGAGGTCCTGATGGCAAGTGTGGTGGAAAGGTTCCAAGACAATTAAAAAATCATGTATAGAAACCCGTAGAAATTTCCAGATTTCATGGTATCTCTCTTTTTGTTAAGTGCAGTGTTTAGTTATGATGCTGAGCGAGAAGTTATGCAAATTCCTTTGTATGATAATACAGTTCTCAGAAGAATAACTGAAGTGTCAGCTAATATTGAGAAGCCTGTTACCAAAAGTATGAAGAATTCTAAATTTGCTATTCAAGTTGATGAATTGACCGATGAATTGCCTGTATCAGATTCATTCACAATGATATAATAATTAGTTTCTATTTTGCAAGGAACTTGAATGTATTTCTTATCAATATAAAATTTCGGTGTGGCATGAGCAAATTTTTTTTCCGAAAGTGCGGAAAGTTGACTTTTAATCCCTGTTGTAGAGATAAAAATATTGACTAGTGGTGTACCTGTGTAATGCGTTAATAAGCTCTAAATCCCCCATAAACCCACCAATGTTTATGAATATCTTACAGTGCTGAGGGGAACTACCTGGGCGTCCTCTCAACTCGACAAAGCTTGGGAACAAAACCTCGATGTGGGGACAAACTTTCTGAATGTCTGGACAAATCAGATGACGAGAGAAGAACCCCAGAAGACTCCATTAAAGTTTTTGAGATGACGGAAAGATCACAGACGCCTGGCAGCGGCGTAGAGAACGCTGCACAAACGATGGAGGAGGAGGAGGAGGAGGTGATGCTGGAATTATCTATATGGAGGTGGTCTTCAGGGTATCTGGAGACCACCACCACCGGTGACGCTGACGAGGCTCGTCGTGATCCCCAGCAGGTGGCAATGACGTCACTGAGCCAGCTGAGGGCAGAGCAGGTCACCCGCATGTCGCTGGCTCGAGGGATACCTAGAGGAGTAGTGGCAGCCATGTTGGCAGGTGAGTTCCAATCATCAGTACTATGCTAATGAACACACGATCTTGTGCGACATCCATATGATGTTCAGTGTTGTCTCTGACCTCACATGATGTTCAGTGTTGACCCCACATGTTCAGTGTTAATTCAAAATAAAGTTGAGTATATACAGGTTTGGCTAATATGTTATTTTATTAATAGGTTTTCGTTATTTCTCACTCATATACAGCAGTAAGTTTCTTTCCTGACAGTGGAGGAGGAAGTGCAGGTGTGGGTTGTGGAGGGAGGTCCTCTGGGTGACCGCTTCGTCTGCCACACCGTGGGCTTCGGTTTGCTGCCTCCTGACACCGTCCACACCATGTGGTGTCTGGCTCCTGACGCTGTGAGTAGTGCTGCCTGACGCCTGAGAATGAGTTGAAAATATAAATGTATAAAGCGTACACTGATGAAGAAGAGAGACATACAAGGGGAAGCTTTCCCTGTTACAGCACTTCGCTCTGTGGAGATATTTATCAAGTGTATTGTTGACTTGATAAAGCGAAACGTTGTAATAATAGTTTCCTCCTCCTGTGTCGTTTCTTCGTGGCTGTGAATGTTCGTTCTTAACTTCTGATCATGGGAGTAGTCACAATCTTTTATTTGAATAATAATAATAATAATAATAATAATAATAATAATAATAATAATAATTTTTTATTTGGACATGATACGTAGTTGTACAAGGCATTACAGTGGTTGGGTGTACGTGCTAAAAGCACCTTGTATGCAGAGCATTATGGGCAGGCTTAAAATTAACTTAAAATTAACTAAGCTATGATAGATTCGGTGGTAAAAATTACTGTAAATAATTTACAATATGAAGTACAAGTGAGTATTTTAAACAATGAAATTTGAACATTTTTAATTATGAAGCATTATAGTTGTACATATTAGTAGCATTACAATTGAAAACATAGTTTGATAGGGTCACAGGTTATACATTTATGAAATACAGTTATTTAATATTTATTTAGTTGTGGGTGAGTCAGTGGATTTTAAGAAGAGTCTTAAATTGGTAAACAGTGTTTCTTTTGTATTCACAGGTAACGAATTCCAAATTTTTGGGCCTTTTATGTGCATTGAGTTCTTACATAGTGTGAGATGGACACGGGGAACATGAAAGAGTGATCTGTGCCTTGTGTTATGGTCATGTGTTCTGTTGAGGTTGGTAAGGAGAAGTTTGAGGGGAGGGTTTATATCTGAGTTTAGTGTTCTATGTATGTAGTAGGTACAATAATAAGTATGGATGTTTTGTACAGTGAGTAAGTTTAGAGTTTTGAATATTGGTGGAGTATGCTGCCTGTAGTGGGAATTTGTTATTCTGACTGCAGCCTTTTGTTGGGTAATTAATGGTCTGAGATGGTTTATTGTTGTTGAGCCCCATGCACAAATTCCATAGGTGAGATAGGGGTAAACAAGTGAGTGATATAGGGCCAGGAGAGCAGATTGTGGAACATAGTACCGTATCTTCGATAGTATGCCTACGGTCTTGGAGATTTTCTTGGAAATTTGTTGTTCATGTGTTTGGAATTTGAGTCTATTATCAAGGTGGATTCCTAAGAATTTACCCTTTGTGAGCTTTGTGATAGGTGATCCGTTTATCATTATGTTAAGAGGAACATCTGTAGTTCTGTTCCCAAACAGAATGTAGTAGGTTTTGTCAATATTGAGAGTAAGTTTGTTAATCATCCAAGTAGATATTTTCTGTAATTCAGTATTTACAGTATTGGCTAGTATGACTGGGCTTGTGTGAGAGAAGACGTATTTATTGTCATCTGCAAATAGTGTGGGTTAGAGTAGTTTAGATGCATTTGGTAGGTCGTTTATGTAAATGAGAAAGAGTAGAGGGCCAAGGACACTTCCCTGTAGGACACCAACTGTAATTAGTTGTGTGGAAGAGTTTGTTCCATTTGTGTACACATATTGGCTTCTGTTGCTGAGGTATGACTTTAGGTAGTTGAGGGAGTGCCCAGTTATACCGTAGTGTGATAATTTTATATGCAACAAATTATAGTCAACTGTATCAAAAGCTTTACGTAAATCAATGAAGTTTCCCACTGGCATTTCTTTTTTCTCGATTGCAGTGTATATTTGTTCTAGCATGTGTATAATAGCATCATTCGTATTTTTATTAGACCTGAATCCAAATTGACATGGGTTGATTATGTTGTGGGAGATGAGGTAGGAATAGAGTTTTCTATAATTAATTTTTCAAAGATTTTAGAGAGAATGGGTAAGTTGGATATTGACCTATAGTTATTCAAGTCTGCTTGATCTCCTTTATGTATCGGGGTGACCCTCGCTATTTTGAGAACTGTGGGAAAGGTAGAGGATTCGATGGATTTGTTAAAGAATGTTGCAATGATTGGTGACAGTACTTGTGAAGTTTTTTTGTATATAAAGGTTGGTAAGGTATTTAAATCTCCTGCCTTGTTCTTTAGTGTGTTGATAATAAGTGAGACTTCTGTTGGGTTGGTCGGGCTGGCAAGTTTTTAATATTTTTTTATTTTTTTATTTTTTATTTATTTATTTATTTAATTGTTTATTTATGTGATAAATTTTATACTCAATTGTTTACTGTGATTTTCTATGTAATATTCTATTAATCACTTCGTTATTTAAAAGTTTTTAATTCTGAGTTAAAAACCTTAACTAAGAAAACAAAGAAGGTTTCATCATAAAATCAGCAGAAATGCAGAAATTAACAGAGAAAATTGATTTCAGTTCGCTTGGGCGTGGGCGGGGGGGTTGATGGTGGGGTGGGTGGGGAGGTGGTGGCGTTTGGGGGGGGTTTGGGTTTGGGCGTCCGTGTCCCAGGGCCCATCATGCCGTGTCTACTGGTCGCCCTCGTCCCCTGGGTAGGGATTCAACCGTTTTAAATTTTAAAAGTCAGGGGAAAAAAAAAAATTTGATTTGGGATTTATTTTGTGATAATATAAACCTAAGTTGTAAAAAACAACTGTTAATGAAAAAGCGTGGGGGGAGAGGGGTTCGAATTGCGGTCCGAAAATTCACAGTCCGCGAGTGGCGTTGAGGGGGTGAGAAAAGATCTAATGATAAAGTCTGGGCGGGGAAGAGTTCGTTGATTGTTAGTGCCCTTTTACGGAATTAATCAGTTTGTATTGTTTGGGTCTCTTGTTAGAGGCCTGGGCTATTTACCCGGGGTTTCCAACCTGGGGGCACCACCCCCCGGGGGTGCGAGGGGCATTTCAGGGATGCGACAGCAACGATATTTTGCCTTTCCTCATGAATTTCTTTCTGTTTTGTGCCCTTTAACATTGCTTTTAATCCTGAGACGTAGAGAAATGTGAAAAATACTTGGTAAAAAATTCCCCCCCCGTGGTTTTCTTGCTTATGTATATTTGTTTGTTGTTTAAGGGGGTGATGGGTGGTTGCGGGGTGTGGGAAGCTGGAGTTACTGAGGTGCTCTGGTACCACCCGGTAAGTTGTTTCATCACTGGCACCTGTCTCACCCCCTACCAACTGCCTCCTATCTGCCACCTGTCTACTCATCTACCCCCTGCCCCCATCTATCATGCCTCATCTTTACCACCTGCCCCACTATTCACCTGCCTCACTCATCTACCACCGCTTACTCATCTACCATCTACTCAAACTGGAAACAACACAATCCTTGTGGTGACAAAGGGAGCACCTAACACTACCCCTGGTTTGAGGTACTGGGGAGGAGGGCTGGGGTGGTTTCGAGCCTGGGGTAAAGACCATCTGTCTTAGTGGTGCGGAGATGGGAGGCACAGGGGCCCCGGGGCACCCTGTCACGCTCACACCCCCCATCCACACCCACATGGGTGGATTGTTTAGGTTGAATCCGATGATGTCTGTGACGTCACCCCCACCACGCCAGGGGTTTTGAATCGACCCCTGCAACCACAATAGGGAGTACAACACACCAGCAACAAAAAAACGCAACACACAAACACACACCCAAAAAAAAAATACACAAAATATGCAAAAAAACGCAACATCACAAAAATACATACGCTTTCCAAAAAAAAAACATACACAAACAACAAAACACCCCAAAAACACACAAAAAACACTGCACCCCCCCCAAAAAGTATACACCCCCAAAACACACAACAAAGGGCATCCGCAAAACCCTGGGAGGGCATATACACAAACCCAAGGAGTAGGGGAAAAACCTTTATGCGAACAATCTGAAGGCGGTGGGGCCCGACACATTTCTCCAGGAAAATTAAAATGGTAAAAATGCCGACAGATTGTTGGGAAAAACTATCAAAAGTTAGGGATTTTTTTTTGAAACGTTCGCCACCAGTAGGTTCTTCATCGAGTACGAAAAAATTGATGAAGCAGAAAAGATTGAAGACGATGTAACAGTCCATCCCCTTAAAGTTTTTTAGGTGGTCAGTCCCCCCAGTTTGGGGAAAAGATTGTTCCAAGTTTGAAACATATGGAGTTGAAGTGAAGGGATGGAGCCTTATATGCGCCCGGGGTGAGACGTAGGTCCATTAAACGCAGATGTTGGGGGGTCAGGTCCCTCTCAAATCCCCGTTTTCACTAGAAGAGGGAGTCGAGTTGATTTTTAGGTCTGACCCAAAATACCCCTTTTGTTGCAGTGTCTGACAGATTTAAAATTAAAATTTTAAAATACCCATGATTGTTAGGTAAACCATATGAAAGTTAGGTATCTTTATTTTGAAAGTTTGCCTACACATTTCTTCTTCAGTCGGTACAGAAAAGTTATAGAAGCGAAAGACTTGAAGACGATGTAATCAGCCATCACCCTTAAGTTTTGAGGTGGTCAGTCCCCAGTCTGGAGAAGACATTGTTCCAAAGTTTGAAACAATATGGAGTTGAAGTGAGAGGATTGAGCCTTATATAGCGCCAGGAGGTGAGACGCAGATGTTGGGAGGTCAGGTCCCTCTCAAATCCAGCCGTTCTCACTAGAAGAGGTAGTCGAAGTTGATTCCAGGTCTGTACCAAGATTCCCTTGTGTTGCAGTGTCTGACAGATTGAACATTAAAATTGTATAAAATACCGACAGATTGTTAGGTAAGACACATATGCAACAGTTAGGTATCTTTATTTTGAAACGTTTCGCCTACACAGTAGGCTTCTTCAGTCGAGTACAGAAAAGTTGATAGAAGCAGAAGAGACTTGAAGACGATGTAATCAGTTCATCACCCTTAAAGTTTTGAGGTGGTCAGTCCCTCAGTCTGGAGAAGAGCATTGTTCCAAAGTTTGAAACAATATGGAGTTGAAGTGAGAGGATTGAGCCTTATATAGCGCCAGGAGGTGAGACGTAGGTCACTAGTAGAACGCAGATGTTGGGAGGTCAGGTCCCTCTCAAATCCAGCCGTT